CTTTATCCCCCTAGTTTATTACTTGCCGTACTCTGAATACGTAACAAATAGCACTCCAAATTTAAACTCATCACAAGCAGAAGTGATTGGAAGCAAAAAAAAAAAAAAACTTCTTGCCAGCTAGAGATACTTCAGGGTAAGTGCTACAACTAAGAAGCACAGAGTGTTGTCAATGGGCAGCTTCACTGGTTACACATCAGCACACTGTCATTTTATGGATGAATTGAATGGGCTTATTTTCATTGTCACAGCTTGTCTCTTCATGGGCATTGTTTACCAGAACATTTTTTTCTAGGTCTCTGTTGCCTTTGCCTTCCTTCAGCTGCTTAAATGTATCGGCAGCCAACCATTTGTGTTCTTTTTATTGTTTGTTAAGATATTTTTGTTTGCTTCATCTTCAACAATGCCATGATTTCCAGCTCAGAGTTCTACAAGCCCTCTGCTCATCAGATATTAAATCTATTCTTTATTTTCACCACATAATATATGAAATATTCCTGAGATAATATCTTGTTGGTTAATCATTTGTTTTCTTTAGCTGAAGTTTGTGATCTGAGAAGAGGTCTTTTTTTTTTTTTTTAATTTGATTTATATGCCGCCCTTCTCCGGAGACTCAGGGCGGCTTACAAGGCGTTAAGCAATAGCCTTCATACTTTTGTATATTTATACAAAGTCAGCTTATTGCCCCCACAACTGGGTCCTCAATTTACCTACCTTAGAAAGGATGGAAGGCTGAGTCAACCTTGAGCCTTGGCGAGATTCGAACCCTGCAGTAATTGCAGGCAACTGGTCTTAATAACCAGCTTAATAACAGGGTGCCTTAAGCCCCTGTACTACCAAGGCTCTTGGCTTTTGTTTCCTGACCATCTTTGCTAAGAGAATATGTAGTCAGTTTGATTTTTGGAGTTGTTCATTTTGTAGTTCCACATATAAATTAAGTTCTAGGCTATTGGAAGAAGGCATTTCCTGTAAACATGAATTTGTCTCAGCAAAATTATATTAGTCTGTGTCCTGCTTTATTTTGTACATTTTTTTCTATTATTCCAGATACTGCTTTGCTTCAAACTTCTATAATTAGTATGCTTCCAGTGTGCGTTTGTGTTTGTGTGTTGTGAAAACAAAGTAATACAAATTGCCATAGAATTACTCAACTTCTGTTTCCTCTCTATATCTAGGAGAGAATAGCATCAGGTCATTCTACTATTAACCTTAAGGCTGTAATTAAATTTGTTTTTTTTTTCTGTTGCAGATTATTATAGCGAAGCAGTAAATAAATAAAATATATGTGATTTTCTGTTTATGAGAGAAGATATTCATATATTTATCTAAATCTAATAGATGGATGAAAAGATGGATGGATGGATGGATGGATGGATGAATAAAGAGATAGACAGACACATATATACATACATTGTTTGTTGGGTAGACTTTTGAAAACATTTTCAATAAAGTACCCTGAACATTTTAAAATTATGGCAATCCATTTTTCAAATTCTTTTTAATAATATATTTAGATTTCATTGAATCTAACTGAATGCTGCTGCTGCTTGTTGTTGTTGTTAGTTGTGAAGTCATATCCATCCCCTTGCGACCCCATGGACAATGTTCCTCCAGGCCTTCCTGTCCTCTACCATCCTCTGGAGTCCATTTAAGCTCACACCGACTGCTTCAGTGACTCCATCCAGCCACCTTGTTCTCTGTCGTCCCCTTCTTCTTTTGCCCTCAATCTTTCCCAGCATTAAGCTCTTCTCCAGTGAGTCCTTCCTTCTCATTAGGTGACCAAAATATTTGAGTTTCATCTTCAGGATCTGGCCTTCTAAAGAGCAGTCAGGGTTGATCTCCTCTAGGACTGACCTGTTCGATCGCCTTGCAGTCCAAGGGACTCGCAGGAGTCTTCTCCAGCTCCATAGTTCAAAGGCCTCAATTCTTTGGCATGCTGCTGCTACTATCTATGAAATTCAATTAGAAATTGCGATCATACAATTTTTAGTATGTTGTTGATAATTTAGTTGGGTCTTTTTTTATAAAATGTATTTATTTATCAGACATATAGCTGCCTATTTTTTGCACCGCAACTGGGAGGCTTACAAACAACAATAAAAACTGCAAACAAGCAAGTAAAAAAAAAATTAAACTCCCAAAGGACACACCCTGCACCCACACATCCACACCAATTCTACAGAGCTCCAGCCTCACTGTACCCCCACTTGTAGGAAAACCCAGTTGTTCAACGCTTTCTAGAAGACTAAGAAGATAAGGCTCTCCCAGATCTCTGGGCTAAAGAGCGTTCCAAAATTTATACTTCACCTTAAGAGCTTTTCTGTATCAATCATTTCTTTGTGGGATGTCCTATTAGAATAGCCTCTCCTTGTGATTTAGTCTCCATATTGCAAGAAAGAGCATTTTTGATTAAAAGCAGCATTTGGTAGCACAGTTTCTTTTTTTTTTTCAATACTCTGAACCCAGAAGCAGTGGTTGTAGTTTTACAAAGGGGAGAACATTGCGTGGTTGTTTAAATGAATGGAACTCCTTAAAATAATTTATAAAGGTCTTCAAGACAAAAACATTGTCGCTTTGCTGCCAATGCCATGATGAATTCCATATATGAAGTCAGGGAGGAAGAAAGATTATTTCTTGCAAGTGCTGAAAGAGAAGTGTTGCATATGAAGTAAAAAACTCCTTTTGCTTTCTTCCTTAGCTTAACCTGTCCTCGTATTGAGATATGTCTCTGCCTGTCACTGTTGCTCTTTTTAGTTCCTCCATCTTTTATGCCCCCGAAGACATTATCCTTTGATTAATTATCCAATTTCCCCAACCACTTCAAGGGTGTCTTTCCTCCTTTCCTTCTTCTTCTTTTTATTTTACACACTGTAGAGTGCCCGGGATGTTTCTTAGTGCTACAGAATCATTGATATCCTTGTTTGAAAAGTTTATAGGCCATCTATAGTCAAAGGAGCCTCCAGACAGCAAGGAACAGATGGTGATTTGGTCTCTGCATGTGCCGATGATCCGTGCAACCCAGTAGCTCGATCCTTTTGGGCCATACAAAGTGGTTGCTTGGATGCATTTCAAAGTACAACAATTAATGCAGCTGTGCAGCGTGATGTCTACATCTGGCTATTTTATTTTGAGGGTAAAAGACAGACTCAAAAAAAAAAAAGGTACAAGGCAAATTGCATGTGAGGGCTAGACATGGCTTCAGTTATTATTGCTTCTAACTGGAAGCTGCCTGAATGAAACCTGTTTTGTCTTTCCAGAGGCCATTTTAGACAAGTAGAGGCATAATTCTAAACATTCCCACATCAAGAAGACATATCAAATATAGTCCCTAGAAAGTTAGAAGATCTTAGCCACTTCTCATCTAAAGTGGATAAGTTTCGTCTGTTTTTTGAGAGCCATATTTTACATAAACAAAAAACCCCATATGAAACTACTTATTAATAGGGCTAATGCAGAGCGTATATTTGCAGAGACTGGTACAGTATTTGCAGCTTTGCATAGATTCTGGGTCACAGGGAATCTTCTGAATAATTCAAGCACAAGGCCACTACTTTCCAGACATTTATGCTGTAGAGGGTTAGAGTGTAGAGCAGTGAAGGGTTAGGTAATGTGCCAACATCGGGGGCAGTTTTACTCAGTTGGGCCCAATTTGCACTAAGCAGTGTCAATAGGATTTATTTTAAAAAATGTAGCATTTGTACTGGTATACCGATGAGTTAAATTTAGAGCTGTGATCCAGGAAAGGAGTAATAAAACCCACACAAATACAACCTGACACAACAGACTGGTTTACATCATAATGGAGCAATATGTAATCACTTAAAAGGGGCTCCCAAGAGACCATTAAGGGCAGTTCCATATAAGGATTCAATGCTACTTTGAAAGCAACTCCAGACTTCTGTGATTCCACAAGTTCAGCTATGCTGAGAGGTGAGTGTGAGACTCAGTGGTCATGTAGTTAACACAAATCAACCATTTTATCAAAACGAGAGGTTGATGGAAACCCAGCCTCCAGCCCAAAAGAGAGCGTTATCCAGTGTCAGAGAAATGACACTGAGAGCATTTTATATTCAGTACAGCAGGGGTGTCAAACCGTGGGTCAAACGAGGCCCATTGGCCAGATCCAACCCACGGGGTGCTTAGATCTGGCCCATGGGGTTGCCCTGGAAACAGCGAAGGACCAGCCCGTGGTGCCTCTGCCAGAGAAAACAGAGCTCGGGAGGGTCATGTGTGGGCCTACTGGTAGAGGGTTGCAGGAGGCCATCCCAGCCGAAACTGGAGCTCAGGATTCCATTTTCACTGACAGAGAATTTGGACTGCCACAAGTGCCCCCCCAACATGAGTGATGTCAAGCTGGCCACACCCACCATGGCCATGCTGACCCCAGCCCCCCGAAGTCAAACACAACCCACATGTGGATCTCAATGAAATTGAGTTTGACATCCCTGCAGTACAGGACTCTGTTTTGATATACAGCAGTCATTGGAATTCTTTTAGAATAGCATTTTGCTTTTTAAAAAAGAAACCAATGAAGATCCTTATTAGGATCCTTATTCCTGCCTGTTGGTTTTGGTTCCAGTCAGGTTTGGCAGGGAGAAACTGGCCATAGGCCAATTTATCATCATTCTGGGTAGTTGTGGGCAATCTGTTCCCTCATCTGTAGGAACTCCTCACCTCTGGATCTCAGGTCTTTCAAGAGAAATGTGTTGTCTTTCTAGCTCTCCTTTATAGGAAGTGCTGTCATTTTCTTTGCAAAGAAATGCACAAAATCCAGGAAGAAAGGTCACAGAGGGAGAACAGATGTACCGTTGACAACCGTTCTGCACAGAGGGAGTTGAGGGCATTTATGTTATTTCAGGATGTCTGGAAACTCAGTTAGGCAGTAACTTTCTCCCTGCCTCCAGCATTTTAAAGCTGGTAACTTTGAAGATGGATTGCTTTAAATTAATATTTCAATTTTTGAGGTAGCCCTGACTCCATAATAACTTTTGGAGGCTTACCCTAAACATCTTTTGAAGGCCTAGAGAATGGAAGTGATGATGATGTGGAAAGATCTATAGTCTTCATGGTGGGTTTGCTGCGTGGACTGAAATTCTCTTTGCCTCTGCAGAGGAATGAAACTGATCCCCCTTCCAATTAGATAAGGAGAGTTTTGGTAAACTGAGGAGTATTTATTAGCCATTCACTTTTTCAGTCATAATAGACTTCTGAGACATCACTTCCCCACCACCTGGTTGCCATGGCGCTGTCAGAGATGCATTCACTGCAGTCAGTTAAAGAGGGAGATTTTATTCTCCTGTTTCCCAGAAAGATGGAGAAGATGGAGGCTACTGCTGATGACTCAAAGTCATTCCCTACTCTCTGAATACTGCAGATTCAGAGGGTAGTGGCATTTTTTACATGATCCTTGCAATCAAAAGTGCAGATGGAAGACTCAGCTGATGATATCTCATACGATACAAGGACTGCAGGGCTTCAGTGCAGCAATGCAAAGAAAGAAAATGATGGCTCATTATCTAATAGGAATGAACGTAAGTTCCAGATGGAGGGAGATGAAATTGATTATGCTTCTTAGGCTTCCAAAAGAAAAAAAAAAAGCCAAAGGAATTATTTTTCCCTCTTCTGTTCATTCATGTCCAATTCTCACAGACTGCCAGGATCCGTCATGTCCCTGCAGTTTTATTAGCAAGGATTTCCAGAAGTGGTTTGCCATTGCCTCCTCATTAGGGCTGAGAGAAAGTGACTGGCTCAAGGTCACTTGGGGGGTTTTCTGCCTAAGGCACGACTGGAACTCTCCAACTCCTAGTTTTTAGCCTGATACCTTAACCACTACACCAAACTGGCTTTCAAAGGAACCAATATATGTAGTAAACTCAATTGTATGATATCAACTAAATTCAGTGGTACATGCCATTTTTTTATGGAGGAAATAAGTATAAAGAATAGAAGGAACTCTAGAATAAGCAGCAAATTAAACATGAGCTAAACTTTTTGCAGCTTTTAAAACCATGGGATGCCATTTTGGTTTTCTTCCCTTCCTGGCTTTCTGGCTAGGATACTGATTTCTGTGGATCAGTGGCTGCAATCCAAATCAGAATTTCAGCCAAGTGATGCTTTGATTCTTGTTGTGTGTATAAAACTTATAATACTTTTTGAAGCTTTTCTTTTTAATTATTATTTCTAGAGCACTGAATTCTGTTAGTTCTAGTCCAGTGCCTGCAGCAGGATACCTAGATATACTAATATTAATAATAACACCATAACATCTGATGGTAGAGAGAGCTATGTTGCTTGTCATTAGTGATATTCAATAGCCACAGGGATCATTATACTTGTGTAATAGAGCTATAAGAGGTATGCTGTAAAAGGAAATAATCCTTTTTCTCGTAACAAAACCCTAATGTTTGAAACGTTTTAAATTTTGCTGTAAGATACTTAGTCCTGTATCTTAGAAGCATTGCCTGTGAGATGTGCTTCTAATATTTCTAGAATTGAATCAGCGAGGAAAAGCAAGGTATTGAATTAAAAAATCATTTCTAAGCCTCCATGCCTGGAATATGAAAGCACCATTTTTCTTGTGGGATTGATAAAAAAGCATTTAAGAACTCCTTCCCCCCCCCAGTTCATAAAGCTCTCAATCTTGCCTGTGTTGAATCATGTTTATCTTAGCCTCCTCACCAGGAAAATTTTCTCATCGAGGATAGCAGGAATGCCTTTATCTGACAGCTGCCAATCTAGTTATCCTGGGTTTTAAGCCTGTGCTTAAAACAAGGACCCGAAAAAAAGCCTCAAATTCAACATAGTGGAGCCATCTATTCTAATTAGTCAATGCAGTTTTACAATTGCTTCATGCGGTGAAGGAAGACATAGCCACTAAGGCTGCTTCTGAAACATTTATAGCTAGGCTGATTGATGATTTTAGCAATGTAGTAAAGCTTTCAAAAAAAAAAAAAAGGAAGAAAGGAAGAAAGAAAGAAAGAAAGAAAAAAGAAGCCAAAACATTGATTGATCACAGTCTATAGTACCAAATGGATTGTTCTAAATACATTCCTTAAACTGTCATGCAGGAGATATTTCAGCTGCAATTAATGGATCAACTCACAAGGATCCCATAATTAAAAAAACTTGTGTTTTTTAAAAAATCTTTCTCCTAAATTACTCAGGACCTGCACAATATCTTTAGTTTATCGTTTTTCTTAGAGCAAAGGATGCAATCTGTTTCACAGGCAATCTGAGGGGGAAGTTTAGGGATGTAAATAAAGAAAAAGGAACAGCCAGCGTGGTGAGTGAGGCCTGGAAATGTTCACTACGAGGAAAGGCTTTGGGGATCTCTAGCTTGGAATGAAGAATAGACTGGAGACATGCTAGAACAGTGTTTCTCAACCTTGGCATCTTGAAGAAGTGTGGATTTCAACTCCCAGAATTCCCCAGCCAGCCATGTTGGCAGACGAATCCTGGGAATTGAAGTTAACACATCTTCAAAATGCCTGGATGGAGAAATATTGTGCTAGAATCATAAAGCAATGGAAGAATTGGGTCATGTAGATAGCTGTTTCTCTCTCTTAGGTTTAGAACTCAGAGTCATTTGCTAAAACCAGTAAAGGAAGAATCAGGACTGGTATAAAAAAAAAACAGAACAGCTATTGTTTTTTAAAACCTTTTTGCTGATTCCAAGGAGGTTGGAAGGATTTTCTCGGGGAAGATTTGGATGTGGCCCAAAATACCTGAAACTAAATCTAGTATTTAGTGAAAGTATCAAGAAATCCAGAAGGAGACATTCCACCTTCCAGATTGGTTGATTTAGGAACTGTCTTTTAATGCAGCTTGCTTCCGATTTTTATTAAAAACACTTTTTATAGGTGTTGGAAGAAATATCCATCTGGGTTCAGTTCCAAGTGGGGAGAAAGACACTGGAAACATGGAGGCTGATTGGAAAGATGGTTTTATTGATGAAGAGGGCCACATGGATTTTAAGTCCTGGGCAGCTGAACACACGGAGTGGAGAGTGAGAGATATTTATGCCTTCTCTTGGGCCTTGCTTTGACCTTCCTGTTCCTGTGGCATGGGCAGGTATTCTATTGGTTGCAGACTCCCATGTGGAGTCATGTTTGTCTGAATCAATTGGTTGCAGACTCACATTTGGAGCAGGGGTGGGTTCTACTTACCTGTACTATCGGTTCTCAATGCGCCTACGCGCTCTTCTGTGCATGCACTGAAGCTTCTGTGCATGCGCAGATCACCTATGAGGACATCTGAATCAGTGGGCGGAACCTCCTGCCGGTTTTACTACCCGTTCTTGCGAACCGGTCCGAACCAGGGGCAACACAACCACTGATGTGGAGTCATGTTTGTCTGAATCAAGTTTGGTTGAACCTTGCTGGGTGATGCAATGAAGGGCAATTCCTACTGTGGCTGAATGGCTTTGCCCTGAAGGATAATCCCATCATCCTGGAGCCAAAGGTCTTTTGTTTTATAGATAAACTGGCACCAAAATATCTGCTGGTGGCAGGGAGCTGGGGCTGAGTTTCTGTCTCCAAGAACATGTTTCTCAATTTCTCATCCAGGGAAATATAATATTCTGCCTTTTTAATATTTCCTAAAATATTTCATTCTTCTAAGAGGGGTGGTGCTAACTTTCTTCATAGGCTTTAATCTAGTAATAAATCATAACTTGACAAAAAGCTGCTTTTGTCCCATAATCCCATAATAATGTATTGAAATATAATGGTTATAATATACTGTATCAGGGCATCCTTGAAAAATATTATTTATCAGAGCTACTTATTCCTTTTAAAATGTCTTAATTATTGGAGATCTGAATATGGCTTAGAGCCCAGGTACTTTTAAGACTGTATTTTCCTATATGAACATTCTTTTGGTCATGCCTATTTTCATGAAATAAAAGGAACAGAAACTGGAAGATATTGCTGTTCTAGACTCATAGGAAACTCCCTTCTTAGTGGGAAGACGTTGTGCATCTTTTCTAACAGTCTGCAAAATTACTGAAGACAGAACTTTCCTTAATAGCATTTGAATAGATTATTGTTCCTGTCTTTAATTTGTTTCATTTTGAATTAGTACTTAAAATAGATTTATTCCCTGAAATGTTATTTGGTTCTGTTTATTTTTCATTACTGCTAATATCCTTGTATTTTGTAACTTTGATTTGTTGTTGGTTGTTTATATTTATTTCTATTTAGTGCGGATTTTTTTAACCATTAGGGATGTTTCTGTTGATCGTTTCATAAACCACTGTAACTCTATGTCGATGCAGCAGTATTTATTTATTTATTTAGAAAATTTATATAGCCACCTACTCTCTCATTCAATACAAATAAACGAATCAACGAATGCATGAATATTTCAGGGCATGCTTCTATTTCCATGAGCCTGCCTGCAAACATAAGTAACTGAGGGGAAACCTTTTTCCGAATGCCATTATTTGTCCCAAAGTAGAATACAGTGGCTTATTATGGGACAGTCTCTAAACTGTTGGTTGTTTTCACTATGAGAAAGGCAACTAACTTCTATAAATAATACTTAATTTAAATATAACTTCTATAAATAATACTTAATTTAAATATACCTATTTAAATATAAATATTTAAATCTGATTTTGGCAGCTATTTCTGTTTTGCGGCAGTGATTTTTTTAGTTCTTTGCTGACAATAACCATTCTTCAGTCTGAGAGCTCTTTAGAATGGAATGAAGTGTAGAACATAATGTAAGAATGTATTATGTAAGGTGCCAAGGGTCTAAACCCTAACTGAAAGTAAAGCATTTTACATTTACATCTGACTCTGTCCTGAAGCTTCATTTGCTGTCTGTCGGATATATAAAGGTGTAACCAAAATAATTGGTGTCAGACCAGGAACGCACAGAAGTTGCCTAAAACTGATGTGACCAATCTTTAGGCAGTAATAGTATGTAACTTCACTATATAGGTTCTTTTTTGTTCCACATCAGAGGAAAGAGACCAAGCTAATAAACCCTGTCAGATCACCACTTCTGGCATTGCAAGAGACAAAACATTCTTAGCCAATTTGTCCCCTTGACTACTAGAGAATAGTAGTTAACTTTAACTTAAAAGAAAACATTTCACTGGATGTTGTAGTGTTTTCTTTATTAGCT